TTTTTTTATGCTGGGCATGGTGGCTCACACCTGTAATACCAGTACTTTGGGAGACTGAGGTGGAAGGATTGCTTGAGCCCAGGAGTTTGAGACTACCAGCCTGAGCAACATAGGTAGACCTCGTCTATATAAAAAATAAAAAAATTAGCTGGGCGTGGTGGCATGCCTGTAGTCCCAGCTACTCAGGAGGCTGAGAAGGGAGGATTACTTGAGCCCAGGAGTTTGAGGCTGTGGTGAGCCATAATTGTGCCACTGCACTCCAGTCTGGGCAACAGAGTGAGACTTACTTTTTATTTTTTAACCCCCAAAATACAGGAGTATAGACATATAAAAAATGGCATCAGCTCTTAACCATTTCAGGTGTCAGGATGTGTGTGCGCGTGCTTGAGTGCGCCTGCATTCGCTACTAGGATGATACATGGATCTGTCTTTTCTCTGCAGCCAGTCATGACTTCCACCTGCTCGGGGAAGAGGACGCCCCGTGCTGGCAGGCATGGTGCCAACAAAGAGAACCTGGAGCTCAATGGCAGCATCCTGAGCGGTGGGTACCCCGGCTCCACCCCACTCCAGCGCAACTTCAGCATTAATTCTGTTGCCAGCACCTATTCTGAGTTTGCGGTAATTCACCTTTTCAAATATCTACCAGTCTCTGGGGAGCACACAGTTGGGGCAGATGGGTCTCTTCCCAAGGGCACCCAGACTATTAGGTAGGGCCACCACCTTGGAGGCTGAGAATCCCTTTCCTGCCTTGACCATGTGGGTTGGGGGTGCCCTAGGGGGGTGTACAGCGAGGGAGTTGGCAGCAGCAACCAGACATGGAACCTGGCTCCTTCTGCGTAATATGTACCATTCCCTGGCTGCAGGAGGTGACCCTCTAGTCACTGCCCTGGTGCTCTCTTGGTGGAGTTCTTGGTAATTGTCTTAATTCTTTGTTCTTAGAAGGATCCGTCCCTCTCTGACAATTCCACTGTTGGGCTTCAGGTCTGTATGGCAACCCTTGCATGTCCCATGTCCCTTTTCCAGACTGTTCTGTCATCTGCTGGCTTCATTCCCATCCGGGCACAGGGATACTCTGCCAATAATCTCAACTGTATTATCATAAATCCTTTTTAACAAAAGCAGTAGGAGTTCCTGTCACGGACTCCAAAAAGAAATATCTGGCTTACATTCCCAGCAGACTATCCTAACAGTTAATAAGAAAACGTGTTCAGACTTGAATTGGATTCTCAGCCCCACCTAAAGTCAGGCACAGTTTTTTTTTATCATATTGTTTTACAACACAAAAACCTTCCGTAGTCGTAATGTCAAAGGCCTGCAATGTGCTGGAAAGAATAGAGGCCCCACCCCGTGGGGAGGGTAGCCCCAGCTGTGTGCTGCCGGTCATGAGGTTCCTGGCCTGTGTGCTGATTATTTCCTGGAGTATATGCCTTACTAACCCCTCAGGGCTCACCTGCCACCTGTCTCTAAGCTGGCCAATGCTTATTTCCTCACCTTTGTCTATTTATACACTTTGAGCTGCTAAAGCATATAAGCAGCACTGGAAGAACATTAATTTTCCAGAATGCTCTTCACTTCTTAGTATTCTGCTCTGTAGTAGCTAACTCTGCACTGCAATGCCATTTACTTAATCTCCATTCTTTTCTCAATATCTTACTAGTGAGAGGTGAGGGTGTCCCTCACCCTTGGGGGGGATTTTTGAGTTAAAGCTTAGGCTGCCTCCTTTCTTCATTGCCACAGGGGACAGAGGCTGGAGCAGTTGCCAAAAGTTATGGCTGGTTATGGCTGAAACTGGCTTTATGTTCTGGCACTTTTTTTAACTTACATGACTGGTGGTGACGGTTCCACCTATAAAAGTGGGTGGTCATCAACTCTGGCCAGCTGGTTGCTGGACAGAGAGGCCAACTTTTTCTTTTTCTTTTTCTGCTCAGCTAAGTCCCATTTTCCAGTTGGGGCGTAAGTACCTGCTTATCTCTGTGGCTGGTCCCAGGCAGGCTCACCTGGTTTTGGTTTTTATGGCTGAAAAATCCCACCAGGCAGCATCAGCACCAATAAACTAACCTCTCCTCTATGCTTTCTCAACAGTCATTCATGCTTTGTCTTCTGCTTCTGTACCATGTGCTCCAGCATGAGATCAAATCACCAGCAGGTTTCAAGGCCCTCGGCCCCAGGGATTGGTAGATAAATGGTCTGGCCCGTTGTTTCTTAAAGGGCTCAAGAGACCAAAGCTTGTTGCCTACCTAGCTTGACAACTCAAGAGCAGCTTTGTGAAGTACAGTCACGCGTCACTTAAAGATGGGCACGTGCTGTGAGAAAAGCTTTGTTAGGTCATTTCGTCATCGTGCGCACATCCAAGCACATGTACACAAGCCTAGATGGTAGAGCCGACTCTGCACCTAGGCTGGGGGGGTGGTGTGGCCTGTTGCTCCGAGGCCACCAACCTCTACAGCAGGTCACTGTGCTGAGTACTGTAGCCAATGATAACGCATTAAGTGTTTGTGTAGGTAAACATAGAAAAGGTACAGTACAAATATGGTGTTGTCATCTTATGACACCACCATCGTATGTGCAGTCTGTTGTTGCTGGGATGTCATTATGCAGTACACAGCTGTGTAAGGGATTTCCCTTCTGAGAGGTTTTAACAGCAGACTGGCTGAGGAAAGGGGTCAGGGCGTGTACACATGGGCTTGGTCTTGACTAACAGAATGGTGCTCAGAGTTTCTCACCTTCCATTCCTAACACAGCTGTGCTGGGCTAGGGATCTCTACCTCAGATAAACTGCCCTCGGGGACCCGTTTGCTGACACTTACCATCCTTAGAAGGGAGGGACATGCATGATAGGGACAGTGTTGCCACTGATGTTATTTATTTTTCAACAGCGAGAACTTTCAAAGGCTTCCAAATCTGATGCTACTTCCGGAATCCTCAATTCAACCAACATCCAGTCCTGAGAAGCCCTGATCAGTCAACCAACTATGGCTTCCTGTGTCTAGACTGGACCTAATTATACTGGGGTGGCCTTAGCTTTTCTTTAGTTTAGGTGTGCTTGAGACCCTGGGCAGGCTCTGCTAGCATGGGCCTAACTTTAAGGATGTGAACAAGTATAACAGAAGAAAGTTCATCGTAGGGTTTAAAGGGTCCTAGGAGACTTGGATTTCTTTTGACACAGAAATAACATTAAAATTCAGTTTATAGCAATAAGTGCAAATTTGAGCACAGGAGACCTGTTTTTTTTTTCTCTCCCCCATAATTCCACTTGCTGAAGCGTGATCAAGGGCTTGTTTTACTTCACCACTGTATGGGAAAATGATTGTACCCATCCTTGGGGCATGTGGTTTGTAGTAATTTTGGCTTGTGTACTTGTAACTAGCAATTAACGTCTTTTTTGATTAGGGATATTCAGTTGCTTTGCACTCACCTGAAGGTCTGTCCCGACCACATAGCACAGCCGTCCTCCTGATGAGTGTCTTTGTGTGTCTGAAGTTGAGATGGCCTGACCTGCTGCCAAAGAGGTGACAGGAAGACTGGGAGCTGCTTTGTTAAATTGTGTACAGTTCTGTTAGCTAGTGCAGTGCCCTCAGTCGGGGGTATGTATGTGTGAACACACATGCTTGTCACAACTGTTTCTTCAGTTTGTCCCTGAGTCCCCTGCTCCCTGTGCCTACTATGCCTGAGACACC